TAGTTATAGGATATATATTTCGATATATGTTACTTAATATTATTAGCATCATTACTATGAGGCATTAAAGGTTTTGCTAGTAGTTTTAAGAAGAATTAGAATGGTATTGAATTGGGCACTAAACAGTAATTATTGATTTTACTTCTTTACCATTTAATTTGAAAATGTCCTATCTGAATGTATTCAGCCAAATAATTGAGATTCTATGTTATTGTTTTATTTCTGTATAATAATATTCTGGGGAAATGAGTATCGATTATTTCATGCTACTATGTTGTTTTTATGTGTGTCATTTAATCATTGTTTCATTTATTTATTTTTTTTGTATACAAGCTTGCTCTTCTCCAGAAGTATCTGGTAGGCAACTAAATACTTTTTAATAATAATAATAGTTACCTTTAGAGCTGTTTACATGTTTGTTTATAAGTTGCTCTGCTCCTCTAAAGTTATATTTTTATAAAGCATATTGAGTTAATAAAACATTTTAGTTAATAAAGGAAGTGATTTATTTAGCTTTATGTTGTTTTATCTGTAGAAATGATTTATGGTGAAGTTTTTTAGTGGTATTTTAGAAACAACAAATATAGCACTGTGAGGCAGTGGGAGTTGGCAGCGTAGCGGAACACAGATTAATGCACACCACTTAAATTAGATAACCGGGACTAATGAGTGGTTTTTGAAAGAATATACTGTTATAAGTTATACATTTTGAGTTAAAAAAAAAAAAAACAGCTGGCATTTAATTGGGTATTTATCCTAGAAAGTTTATATTCTATTTTGTTCTATTTTCTGTTTGTGTCCCTTCTACTTTTCTGACATCCATTATAAAGTTTAAATAATGCCATGCTTTTATTATAAAGAGGTGTAAAAGATGCAGTTGGCATTTATCTTATTACAAAGAGACTGGAGAACTCAACATCTGGGGTGGTTGTAACCTGTATAGTAATTTTTAAACTCTTATTACAAAATGCAAATGATCGTCTCTTTTTAAGCTTGGAGAAGAATGGCACACTATAACTAGCAACGTGCTCTTTTTATATAAGCGGTAATGTGATTTATTAAGCACAGAACCCCAAAACATCTAATAAGTTTACTAAGCTTAATTAATAAAGCACTCATTCATTATATAAGAATATACATGAATGTCATGTATCTGAATATCATGCAATAGAGATATGCAATATTTGAATTTTTAATAAGTTTCCTAATGTTTAAAATGAACGTTGTAATATAATTTTTATACTGTGTCCTATGTGTAAACATATACAGAGATATTTTGAGGGTGTGTGTGTTCATGTTCTTGTGGAAACGCATAAAAACTGGCACTTTGTTTCTAGCTGCTTCCTCTCGCGAATGTGGGAAACATTCCTACACACCAACCCTGAGTGACAGAAAGATTCCTTTGGTAGGCTGATTTCTTCAGAACGCAATGTGATAGACTCTTGCAATAACACAAACTGAAGACAAAACACGTTTATTTGGAAAATAAATATAATTGAAATGTACACTTCTGAGAAGAAATTAAGTTAATATGAAGAGAGTCCTTCTTATGCTGGTAGTACGGACCTCGTTTGCTACATTATAATTCAGTACGGGGCAAAATGTATTTGCAGAAAGATCCTTCCTGGAGATGTTTTCTTCCTAATCATTGTTTGAGGCTTTGTAGCTAGGTACCCATGGTCCTGTAGCTGAGAAGTATTAGAGCCAACATCCTCATTCAGATGCACCAGGCTCCAAAGCTGGTGGCTGCTTCAGGATATCACAATGGCTTAGATGGTAAAATGTAGGCATCTATTGATATACTAATAAAAGGATAGTATGCTAATTAGACCAGACATCCTTCCAGGCGTCCTTCTGGACAAAGCCATGGTGGCAGGGCCAAGGCACAGGCCGTTAGGAGCGATCAGGCCAGCAGGGGAGAGCAGTTAGGGGTGAGAGGGTGTAGGCCAGGCTGAGGGACCTCCCCACACCCTCTAGTAGATTATATATAAGAAACAAGAAACCCAAAACATTGAGAGCGTTTATGCTTTATAGGGAACTCTGCTGTGGGGTTTGGATTTGGCTGTCTCTTCCACCATGTAGTCTCTTAATTAGCTGTCACTACCTTATATCAGTGGATATAAGTTCTAAAACTAACCAAAGAAAAAACAAAAAAGAAAAGCATTTAGAAATTTAAATTCACCACCATCTAAAAAAGAATAAAATTTAAGGCAATACATGTGGTTCTGGACTGCTTGTGTGTTAGAGTTGTTCATAATCTGGCATGTTGTGAAAGACTTTATGTTTGGTGTCTGTATTTATAAGATGTGTAGTTTGGTTTACTGATATTTTTACAAGAGTTAACTATGTTCATCTTTGTGTGTAAATAGTGCACATGTAAACTAGAGACTTTATGTATTTATATATCCTTATGTGACCTAAGTGCTTCAGAACCAAGTTTCCCTCATGAAACTCTTTCGTGACATTGTAGTTAGTGCTTATCCTTTACTGTAAAAGGGAATCTATTTATTGAAATAATTCCCCAAATTTAGTATCCTTGATTCATACCCATTCCTGACGACTTTATATAAGATTTTTATGAAAACTATTATTTACTGCCGAAACCGATTTGGCTCAGTGGATAGAGTGTCAGCCTGTGGACTGAAGGGTCCCGGGTTCGATTCCGGTCAAGGGCATGTACCTTGGTTGCGAGCACATCCCCAGTAGGGGATGTGCAAGAGGCAGCTGATTGATGACTCTCTCATCAATGTTTCTAACTCTCCCTTCCTCTCTGTAAAAAAATCAATAAAATGTATATATATTTTTAAAAACTATTATTTACTTTATGTAGTGCCACTGATCAGTCAACTAAGAATGTATCAAAAAATTTCCTGAAAATCCTCTTAGTGAATAAAATAAAGTAGCAGCAGAAATTTTTCCTCTAGCTCATTCACCGAGCAAGGAGAAGGAAATTTGCTTTCAGTTTACCATCTTTGGCCAATACTGCTTTGTTTCTCCTTTGACCACTTAGGCTTTCTTAACTCTGGATCCACTTAGCAGTAAGTGACGGAGAAGCTGGAACAGGATGCTAGGGGTTGTTTTCTTACTCTGATTCTCTTCCTTGTCTTCCAATTATCTGCACTCAGGCAGGCATCTGGAGAGTTTGCACTGCAACTTGATGTGCAAGTTCTATAAATAGAAGATAACTGAAAATATTTTTCAAGAAAATAAGCAGTTATATTTTGGGAATCACAAGTTGTTTCTTAAAAACTACAGTTGCATTTAGCAATAAATTATGTTCTTTATTTTATAGCCGTCATTGCCAAGTCAGTGCCATGTGCAGATATGTCTGCTTCATCACCCCACCCCCCACCCCCCAATCTTACTTATAAAACCAGTTGTAGCTAGTACATTAATTTTTAGAATTAGGTTGACTCCAACAATTCTAAACTCAAAGAAAATGCAGTTTTCCACCCCAAACCCACCCCACCCCCTTAGTGGGGGCGGGTGAGGAATTAGATCAATTTGCATAATTATATTCAATTTGTTTGATTCATTATTTTGGTGGGTGAGATTTTCATACAATGAGAAAATTCTAATTTTAAAACTTATTTTTCTCAAACTTTCTAAAATAGATATTTTGAAAGTGTTTTAACAGCAAAATACAAATGACAGTTTATATAAACGAGTAAAATAATGTCTGCTCTTGGTACCTGTCATCCCATTTTGAAATCTCAGGTTTAGAATGCCATTAGCCATTTTGGTTAATAGCAGTGTTTTGAGAAAGGTACTACAGTGGGGAGAAGGGGCAATAATAGTGTGTACCTTAAAGTGCCTCATTTTAATACTACCACCTTATTGGTTTATCTTATTCAAGAAGTTATGAGCCTCTCAATTCTGCCTTTTCCTTATCATTCTCATCACCCACCACTACCATCATCAGCACTGCAGTATATCTGGAATAAATGCCAGTGTGCCACTCTTTGTTCAGTTTGCATAGCCTTTTACTACTTGAACATTATTTAAATACTTTTTTTCTTCTTTATTTATAGATTCATGTGTCAGAAATACTGGAAGCTTTCTGAACAAAAGACTAAAATAATTTTTTTTTTTTGTATAGTCAGGTTTTGCTTGCATACCTAACTAGGAACAAGAATGCATATCATTTATGCCTTTTTACCTCTCTGGAATTTTTTTTTTCTATTATTTTTTTTTAAACACAGGAAGTTGGTTGCAAACAGAAATCATTGCTAGTAACTTTGTGGAAAGACAATGAAAACGAGTATTCTTTTTAAATTACTTATCGTTTAACAAATCTAAAACTTCGAACCACAGCTCTAAAAATAATGTGGCTATCAACCACTACATAAACATCTGGTTTTGGAATGCTTTACTTCATGTACATTTGAAATTAATCCTTCAGACATTTAGTTTTGCTCCAAAGTTAGAATGAGATTTTTAAGCTCTTTGGATTTTTCTGGTTGTTTGTGGTGGCTTGTTCTGTTCTGTTTTAAGTCTTTGAGTATTCTTTATGTGTTAGTCTGTGGTAGAGAAAAAACTGATAATAATATAAATTCCAATACCTGAAAATAGCCCTTTGTCAAAATCGATTACATTTGAAACTCGACAAATCAAAATTTCATTCTCCAGATGTTTTTAGTTCTGAAGCATAAAGACTTTTAAACTATCACAACTGATTTATTTACCAGTATTTTGTTCTAGATTATCCTAACCTTTTTACATTACTTCCGGGTATATCTTCAGGAATAGAATTTTCATTATTAGATTTGAAATTATCAAAGTGATCTCCATATAGGAAGATATTAGAGATTTTTAGAAATTTGAAAAAATATTTGTTTCCTATTTAGAGAAACGAAATAGCTCTCTAGTATATCATGTTGTAAATACATGTTTATGGTGACCATAGATGATGTGTGTGTTTTTAAAGCACGAATATTTGTATGTAATACGAAAGTTGTTATAAGACAAATTTTTAAAAATATTTTTCTATTTTTCTTTAGTGAAAGAGTTTCTAGCCAAAGCCAAAGAAGACTTTTTAAAGAAGTGGGAAAATCCTGCTCAGGTAAGGAATATTTCCATGTATGTATGATTTAAAAATTCTCTATTAATAAAATCACGATTCTTGCCTAAGTAATTTACTGCTTCCAGAAATCTTAATTTACATGTAGCATTAATGAATGTAGGGTTAACATGGGAATTTTTGCCATAATATTGTTTTGACTTATTAATAATTTTTGTATACTTAAATTGGAGAAGGAACTAATTTCTAGTATAATACCTGATTATAAATTTTGATACTAATTTCAAGCTACTACAAACTCTTGATATTTTCAAATATAGTAATTTGACTTATGCTCCTGCTAGCATATTTATTATTTTTATTAATTACAAAAGTAGGGATCCTATTGTACAGTTTCAAATTCTTAATCCCAAACATTTGGCTGTTGATAACATATCAAATACAGGGATTCTTTCATGAACATTTTGATGAAGTAAATTCTATATAATTTAAGTACTTTAGATTTTAACTGAGATCTAAACATTTTATATAGTCATCTATACTTATTAAAAAATATCTTTTTTTAGATATAGAATAAGTAATGAATTTTAATAGTAGATTAAATTTTAAAAACCTTTATCCTAGCACAAAAAAATCTTTTCAAGTATTTTTTGCTAAAAAAATATTTAATATTAAGTAAATGTGATGTTTTATGAAGATGCCATCATTATCAAGATTTAGAGCATGACCCATAATTTAAATGTATAAAAATTAGACATTATCTAACATGAAACATTAAGGAGGTGAATAAGATGGCATTTTTATATAGAAAGCAATGACTAGCAAAAATAAAAGTTGGTTTGTGGTCTATTAATGAAGTCCATTTCATTGTTTAGTTGGGAACTAATAATATTAAACATTTTAATCCATTTATGTTGATAAAACAAAACATTAAATATCTATAATAATAATAAAAGCATAATATGCTAATTAGACCGGACAGCCGAACAACCTTCCAGAAGTCCTTCCGGACTACCTTCTAGACAAAGCTGGGCTGCGAGGGCCAAGCCCCTTGCATGAATTTTGTGCGCAGGCCTCTTGTTAATTCATAAATTTAAGTAATTCAGTCAGAATTAGAAGGACGTATTCTTTGCATTGACATGGAATCTCATGGCAATTTAAAATCATTATAAATCTGAAATGAAAATAAGGTTTTCAATGGAGATTAAATCCAGCTATAATAGATTCACTTGCTTATGCAAGAATCTTATTTCACCTCAACTTTTTCAAGCTCAACACTAGACAGGCTGAAAATAATTTTTCTAAAAATTTGATGGAGATCTTTGTAACGAAAACCTATTAAAAATGGATCAGCAATTACTATTTATTGCTATTTAGCACATAATTTGTTCCTAGTAATTTTCATTTTGTTGTGACAGCAACAAATTCAATAGATTGATGCTTCCAATTCTTTGCTTCTATGCTATATTCAAAGCCAAACAAAGATGTGTGCTTATAACAAAGCATCCATTCAAGGAAAAAAAGAGGCTGATTATTGTACTGGGAGTCTGACTCTTGGTTATCTTTGTGGGCATGAGGAACTCTTCTTTCCTATTGTTACTGTTTAGGTAATACTGGGTCATTATAACATCAGAGAGAAAGCTATTAGAATCTCTCATGCTGCTATTCTCTAGTTCTATAAGCTCCTGTAAAGATAGAAATGAAGTTATAATGGTGCTTTCTTTAGAGGTAACTCCAGTGAAAGGACACTGATCCCTCAGCTTATCTAGTCATTGCAGTTATTTGCACTAAGACTGTGGCTTTCATGATTGTCTTGGTCAGTGTACCTCTGGTCAGTTGTAATTACTAAAATATGAAACTAATTTGTTAGAAGTCCACTACTAATAATATATATTGGAATATAGCCTTTAATATTTCAGCTGAAGCTCTTATTTCCTCCCATTACTATTATGCTTTGTTTTGCAATATAATTCTCAAATATTAAATCCTTTTTTTTTATTCAAAGGGAAAAATAGAACCAATAACTTGGAATTTCAATAGCCTTTCATATTATTTTTAAATGGATGGTTAATAAATTAAATTATCGATTTTGATTATCACTAAATCCATTGTTGTTGCCATAGTATTCTTAGGAGAATTTCTAAATTCAAAGCTTATTTTATTTTTATGCATATGTAGAATAATGCCGGTCTGGACGATTTTGAAAGGAAAAAAACCCTGGGAACAGGTTCCTTTGGAAGAGTCATGTTGGTGAAACACAAAGCCACTGAGCAGTATTATGCCATGAAGATCTTAGATAAGCAGAAGGTTAGTGTTTTTGTTGTCATTTACTTGAAGGGTAAACTTCAGTTTTATCAGCTACATTATTAAATAGATGCAATATAATGACTTAAATGTTGACACCTTCAAAGAATCTTATTGTTGCATTTAATTGTCATTCTTATTATTGTGACTGTATGATACCATAGTTATAGTTTTAGTATATAGGAGAATATTATTTCAATAATTATTTATACATAATAGGTATGTGTATGTTTACTAACAAAATATTGAATTTAACATGTTAAGAACAGGCTTCTCTACTATATTCTGCCTTGTGGAAAAATACAAGAAAAAATTATTTGATCCTTAGATTGAAGTAACAGAAATTTAATCATTTTATTTTATGACATTTTAATTGATAGTAGAAGCCCTCTTATTTAAGATGATTGAGTTTGCTTAATTAAAAATATAAATTAAAGCAGTAAAAGCTTGAAAACCTACATACTATTAAAGATCAGATCATTACAATGGTAAGATCTGTACACATATAATACCTTAATAAAAGAAATGGAAAAAATAAAAAGTTAATTAATTTAAAAAAATTTTTAAATCAGATCATTATACACTTGAAACTAATATAATGTTATGTCAATTATATCTCAGTTAAAAATTAAAAGTAATTTTTAAGTGTTTATCACATATTGGTGTATATATATATATAAATAATCAGGATACCTGAATTCTTCATGCTTTAAATATTAAGCTTCTATTTTCTTAGTAATCACATTTTGGCTTACTGGAATATATAGATAAGAAAAATTTCTAGTAGCTTCATTTTAAAAAAATAAAAAGCAATAGGTGAAATTAATGTTAATAACAGATTCTGTTTAGTCCAATGTATCCACGACATTATCACTGCAATATGTGATTACTATAAAAATTACTGAGATATTTTAAGCATACCAGTCTTCAAAATCTGGTATATATTTTACATTTACTCTCCATTCAGGTCTCCACATTTTCAGTGTTAAAAAACCACATCTCTAAAACAAAAAAAAACAAAGCTAACCTCTAACATGAAAAGAGTAATGGCTTATTAAGTCTCTCTAAAATTAAATACACCCTCCCTACACACACACACATGCAGAATTATGCATCTTTGTCTGTTGCCCTCTCACATAATTTTTCTAACCATGCTTCTTGGAAAAAATAGTTTAATCACTATCCCTAACTCACTTCCTATTAATTCTTTAACTCACAATTATTTAACTGCCTCCTTATTTATCTCTTACCTCTTGCTACTTCACTAAAACGTCTCTGCCACGGGTCAGCCAATCCAGTGACCTAATCTCCAAGTCCAATGGACTCTTTTTGCTTCTCTTATGTGACATTTTTAGAATCTACAACCATGTTGACCACTCCCTTAAAACTGTCTTGACCTTGGATTTCTGGATCCCCATTCTTTTCTAATTATGCTCCTACCTCTTGGACATTTTTTTTTTTTAATGTGCCTTTTTCTGTTTATTTTTTTTCCTTCTATCTACCAATCTCTGGATGATTCCTTTTCGTGTGTATGTGTGTTCTGTACACTCGCCCAGTACACTCTCATCCAAGCTTCAGCTCATCCTTGGACCCTGTGCTCTAACGTGTGCAATCCGAGCACAAACTCCTAGAGAGCAGCTCGTGCTTCCCCTAGTTTTCTGGATGACATATTTGGGCCTCAGTTAGAGCACGTGATTTGTACGCTTGTGTTGGTAGCACAACAACAATAATGAAATGCCTCGAATTTATATTTTTTATTAAATCCGTCATTAAAATGTTCTTATCTGTACAGCTTCTAATATTTTATGTTACCTCCCTTAAGGAATTAACAAGATGTGCTTTTAGTCATAAAATATTAAAAGGATTACAAAACGTATTTTTCACACTTTAAAATATTTTGTGAGACGGTGACTTGCTAAGTGAGTTACTGAGAAGGCTGCCTTGGGAATAAATCCTGGTGAAAGAGTATTTCCCGGAGGAGCAGCTGCCATTTGAAGTCATTTCCCCGCAGCAGCGATTTTCAGCCGGTGTGCAGGCCGCACGTATTTTTAAGACATTCAGTGCCTGCCTCTGTAGTCAGGGGCGCTGGCCTCTTTTCCCTTAGATTGTCAAGTAAAATAATGATCACAGCCAACACAACAATAGCCTGTCCGGTGAGAATGATTCAAAATTATACATTTTTCGTCAAATTGGCAAAAAATGTTTTTTAGTGTGCCGCAGAACTTTGGTGATTAGATTGTGTGTGCCATGAGAGGTTGAAAATCGTTGCTGTATGGCCTTGTTCTGGATCTATTCAGAATCACAACAAAGACTTTATATTCTGATTTTTTTTTTTTCAAATTAATTTGCTAAAACTAAGTAACAAAGTAACATTCTGTAATAACCTTTCTGTCTCTAAAGTCTGAGGTCTTTCAGTTAATCCTTTGTGGCTTCTCTTAGGGTGTGTGAGGGGAGGGGAATAAATCAGCACAGAAATTAACTGGTTAGCTGCCACTCATCCGAAACGGAAACCATCCCCATGTCTTCCATATTTGCTGGAATATTTACGAACCTAAGTTACCATAATGTTCTTTATAAACCCAGAGATGTCACTCACAAGTCTGTAGTGTTATATAGTTTATCATGGTAAGAATGGACTAATGGGTACTGTAACTAGTTAGAATGTTGACAGTGGTGATCTAACCACTTCATGTTACAGATTTTTAAAAACCCTGATATTCTAAGAATTAAAATAGCATTTCCAAAGTCACACAACTGGTTGAATAAGAAGATCTAGATTAGAATATAAATCTTCTGACTTGTAGTTATTTTTATACTATAATTGTGTATACCAATTACTGGGTGATATCTTTAATTGCCTTTCTTATCCATGTTCAACTTCTTGAATTCTATGATTAGCCCACATAAGTCTCTATCACACATGACTTACGCACATGCAAAATAGTTATTTCTATCTCTCTAAAGATACATTTTCTTAAATTAAAAATAGAATCACATGTAGGAAAAACCAGTCTTCCTGATGTTAGAATTAGTTGCTGTCCTCTGCTATGTACATGATTGAGTAGACAACCCAGAGAAATCTTGAGTAATCCTAAATTATCTATTTGCTATAAAGACATAGTCTTTCTTTTTTTTCTTTTTCTTTTTTTCTTTTTGCCAATATTTAGTGTGTATCCTCTTTTGTAGCTGTGCAAATTGAATTTTCAGAACTTGTTCTTGTATTTATTCAGGTATTATAATTATTCTTCTTAGCTCTTGCTTCTTTACTGAAAATCATAGTTTGCCATTTCAAGACAGAAAAAAAAGAAAAATACATTTTGGGGGCAATCCTATCTAAGAAAGAGGGAATATGCAAATTGACCCTCACGCTGTTGCAAAAGATGGTGGCATCCACAGCCAATAGGGAGGGAAAATGCTAATTGACTGCCTCACCCTCAAAAATGGCAGTGCCCACAGCAAACAGATGGCGGCACCCAGTCCCCTCAGTCCCGCTGGGGCGCCTGCCTCTGGAGTCCCCCAGTCCCCTTAGCCCCCCAGCCACTCGGGACCAGCCCGAGGTGCAGGTAACCAGAGCCTTCAGCTGCCGGCAGTGGCAGCAGTAGAGATGTGATGGGGTGTAGCCTTCCCCTGATCGCCAGGTCGCCTCCCACCCATTTCAAGACCAAGTTTTAAATCTTCTGAAAGGTATTTTTCATTTGAATCTAGTTATCCTCATTGGTAGTTATTACTACCCTCCTTGTCCAACTCTAGCGATTTTGTTTTATCCAAGTTCATTACTTATGAAAAACATTTATTTCACTTTCTTTTTATAAAATTATAGTAACTGAAATTTCATTTAAATGCATCTAACATGTTTATCTCTCAATTACAGGTTGTTAAACTGAAGCAAATAGAGCATACTTTGAATGAGAAAAGAATATTACAGGCAGTAAATTTTCCTTTTCTTGTTCGACTGGAGTATTCTTTTAAGGTAAATTTTATTAATATCCAAATAAAATATTTTCTCCTCATAATTTTAAAAAATATAAAGCTATAATAGGATTCTAAACCAGGCAATAAACATGGAGATTATTATTTTTTTAAAAGGTTTTGGTTCTCCTTAGGGAATTTATTAAGGAAAATGTATAATTTTTCATGAGACTGTATTATAAAATAAAAATTTTAATTTACCAAAATCCATAGTGATATTTAGCAAGGCAAATCAGCACAACTACATGTCTACTTTATCTCCAGAGCCTTTTCTGCCACAATTTCACTATCTTGTTTCACTTAGTAATTTGTGCACTAGTCTTTTCATTCATATGAGTTAGAGCAGACTTTGACCGTCCTCTCAAGTGTCTCATAGATTTTTAAAAGATTTGTTAAGTTGACAGCTTTTCAGTTTCTTGAAATGATACTTGTCACGTCTCTGCAGCATTGATTCATATGAAGCATTTTAATCTTTTCTTTTTCCTCCTTTATTTTTTAAATAAAAACCTGTGAATTCCTGATGATGTTAAAAATTCTTAATTTCTCTGACCTAATGTAGTACATAAAATGTAAATGTTCTTACTAACTTTTGCAAATTATTTTTTAACCTTGTTATTCCTTTGCATACCCTATACCATTAAGTTATTACTGCACTGTTTAATTATTTAAAAGTTAAGTATTTCCTTCAAGAGCAAGAACAGCAAAAACCCCAGAATAAATTATAGAAGAATACTAGGGAGGAAACATGAGTGTCCCAATGTAGAAAAGTTAGAGCATTTTTTATTTAATCTTTATTTCCCAATGTTAGTAATCTACCAGGTGGATTTTTAAATTTGCCTTTTTCTAATTGAACATGCTGCTACTTTAAAATATTTTGATTTATTTATCCTTCCTATTTGTGTATAGGATAATTCTAATTTATATATGGTTATGGAATATGTCCCTGGGGGTGAAATGTTTTCACATCTAAGAAGAATTGGAAGGTTCAGGTAACTAATACTTTACTCTCCTTAAATCTTGCTGTGTGTGTGTTTAAAAAAAAACAAAACAAAAAAAACTTTTAAGTGATGGTTAATGTAAAAATTTATTTCATTTAATTTAGTAATATTTTATCTGTATGAATAATTACATGGAAACATTAATAAAAGGTCACATAATGACTTTTAAAAATCAAAGCACTATAATACCAATGTAAATATTCTACCATTAGTAAGTATTGTTTGAAATCTATTTATTAGAATTTCCAGAAATGCAAAAATTAATTGAATTTAAACATATCAGTATTTATTGAACAAATATTACACAGTTCTAGAGAAGAGGTTTGTATAAGGATAAAGATAAAAAGGAAATATATAGAAAAGATGATAATGATATCATAGTGATGAAATTATGAGAGTTAGTTTTGCACAAATTTAGTTCTCCTTAATGCTGTTACTATGTTAAGGTTTAAAAATACATATATAATATATATATATATATACTGTACCTCATTAGGTTATTATAAATAAAGGCTACACAGTTATTAAAATAGGTTATAGGTTGTTATCTTTACTGGGTGTAATAGTTTGTAAGCTTCTACTGTTCCTTAATAATCACTAATAGAATGAAGCTGAAACCAAGAATAAGTCCAACTTGTTTCAGTACATCATATAATGGTGTTACTAACATGTTAGTGTGAGTTCAAAGAGAACTCATGATGGTAATTAGATTCATAAAAACATGATGATAGACTTAGATTTTCATTCCTTGTCATACAACATATGATGTCAGTTGTGACAGTATTGATGAAATGGGACTGAAACTGGAAGGGTGTTATAAAGTACTAGAGGCCCGGTGCATGAAAATTCATGCACTGGAGGGGGGCGGCCCCTCAGCCCAGCCTGCCCCGCCTCGCAGTCCGAGAGCCTCCAGGGGTGGGAGGCGACCCGGCGATCAGGGGAAGGCAACACCCCATCACATCTCTACTGCTGCCACTGCCGGCAGCGGAAGGCTCTGGTTACCTGCACCTCGGGCTGGTCCCGAGTGGCTGGGGGGCTAAGGGGACTGGGGGACTCCAGAGGCAGGCGCCCCAGCGGGACTGAGGGGACTGGGTGCCGCCATCTGTTTGCTGTGGGCACTGCCATTTTTGAGGGTGAGGCAGTCAATTAGCATTTTCCCTCCCTATTGGCTGTGGATGCCACCATCTTTTGCAATAGCGTGAGGGTCAATTTGCATATTCCCTCTTTATTAGATAGGATTGCCCCCAAAATGTATTTTTCTTTTTTTTTTAAATATATTTTATTGATTTTGTACAGAGAGGAAGGGAGAGAGATAGAGAGCTAGAAACACCGATGAGAGAGTCATCGATCAGCTGCCTCTTGCACACCCCCTACTGGGGATATGCCTGCAACCAAGGTACATGCCCTTGACCAGAATCAAGCCCAGGTCCATTCAGTCCCCAAGCCGATGCTCTATCCATTGAGCCAAACCGGTTTCGGCCCAAAATGTATTTTTCTTTACATATTTACTCATTCAACAAATATTTAATGAGCATCTGAAGTGTATGAGGCTAGTACCTAGGAAATATAGTGACAAGCAAAAAGAGCAGCATATGTAATCTTTTTTTGACATCAATCTATATTTCTGGTCCTACTAGATCAAATTCAGGCCAATGGTCTTGAGGGAAATTCTATTCCTAGTTAAGGTTATTCATTGAGGACACAAGTCTGAAAGTCATTGCAGTTTCTCAGGCAGATTAGCAGAATTCAGTGTATACATTCAGTGATGAAATAGAAACTCAGACTAAAAAGTCAGTATATCTTTTTGAAATACTCAAGAATGTGGCATCAAAGTCACATTGATCTATCAGTTGATCTCATCTATGTCTGTAAGAATTATTCATATTTACACAAATAACAGTTTATCCCTATGTTTATGTGTCTGTGGAAACATGCATAGAAGATGGGAAATTTGACTCCAGGATTGTTTCTATGGTTTCTGAATGGGATTATGGATGTCTTGATTTTCATTGACATTATATTTTTTCTATAATGAGCATATATCAGTTTGTAATAAGAACAGACTAGGTAAAAATGGCATTAATCAGCAAATGATTTCAAGTGAAGAACTCTTCTATGTAGTAATAAGCATTGAAATGTGTGAGAAACGTAAATAGAACCTATCAACAGTAGCGATGACTGTGACAGACAATCTAACTGGCACATTTGCTTTTCAATCATCCTTAAGGTCAGACATAATTACAAAAGTATCAATATCTTCTACTATAGCCAATAGTAATTTAACATATGATGGCAATTTGAAAGTTGTATTTTTCTTATTAATCATATCGAAGCATTATTTGAAGATAATTTAGAGATTTACTAAATATTTGGAAGTTAACAAGATTATTTACATAGTTTTAAAAAAAATACATTTTACTCCCAAAATACCTTAACTCTATTAATTTTTTGTATAATCTACTGATTATTATGTGTTAACCCATTTTACAGAAATCCATTGTTTTGTTTCTTTGCAGTGAACCCCATGCCCGGTTCTATGCAGCTCAGATAGTGCTAACATTTGAGTATCTCCACTCACTAGACCTCATCTACCGAGATCTAAAACCTGAAAATCTCCTAATTGACCACCAAGGTTATATCCAGGTATGAACTGAACATACTAGATATATAATGTATTTGACATAATACTTGCTAACAGGTTGTACGTATTTGACAACTACCAATTTTGAAATGTTTTTTTTCTTTGAGAAGACAATTACTTTCCCCCAATAGCTTAAATGGAACTTATGGTTCCAGTGCTATTAGAACAAAATGTCTCCTTAAGGATAGACCCTGTTTATATCTCCTGTGATCTGTGGTTGTGAACTGAGCACAGGCTCCTGCATAAAGAATTGGCAATAACTAAATTTGTGAGCACTCATTTAGTGCCATGTGTTATTCCAAATGTTTTTATGTATCATCTCTCTATTTTTTTTTTTTTTAGAAAACCATGTTTTTTTGTGTTTTGTTTTATTTTGTTTGTGTGTGTGTGTGTGGTTTTTTTTTTTTTTTTTTTTTTTTTTTTTTCATTGAGTTTTAGAGATAGAAGAAGGGAAAGGGGTAGAGAAAGAGAAACATTGATGAGAGAGAACATCATCATCGATCCTCTGCCTTTTCCTGGGAATTGAGCCCCCAACCCAGGCATGTGCCCTAACTGGGAAACAAACCATGACCTCTTGGCTCAGTGCTCAACCACTGAGCCACACCAGCAGGGCTCTGTCATCTCTTTTAATCCTGATAATGCCATGAAGTGGAAATACTGTTGTTATCCTCATTTTAAGGCTGATGACACTAAGGCAGAGCAGGTAGAGTCAGAATTGAATCCAGTCTGTCCCCAGCATCCATGCTTTTTACACTACAATGCAGCTGCCAAATCTGGACTGGTGACAGTGTTTTCTTTTCATTCCTGCTATCGATGGAGTGGGAGCATCCCGTTTTACACTTACCAGATCTCCCCACTGATGCTGCTGCACTTCGGATGAGGTCATTAATGACAAAGGACATATTGGATTTTAAGGGACACTTCTAACACTTTCATTAAGACTTTTGTTGTCATTTGCTCCTTGGTTAGAGATGGGAAATGTTACTCAGCATTGGGTTGTTTCAACTATATTCACCAAGTAGTGGTCCTCATGGATTAGTCTCAATTCCATTTAATTAATTTGTTTTACCTGGTTCTATTTTTTACCCTGATTTTAAACTTTCACCTTCAGTACAATAAATACTTTTATTGTGAAATGATAATGTTCACCGTTTTCTGTGTTGTTGTTTTTTTCTTCCGTAGGTCACAGACTTTGGTTTTGCCAAAAGAGTTAAAGGCAGAACCTGGACATTGTGTGGCACTCCGGAATACTTGGCTCCAGAAATAATCCTCAGCAAGGTATACTTACACTGTCATTACATAAGAAGTAGAGATAGAAGGCATGCATCAGTGTGGACTGTTATGAAAACAGTTTATTAACCTAATCTTACATTTTTATTTAATCTAAATTATAAATTTAAACCTATTTGTGCATAATTACTTAAAAAAAATAGAGTCTAAGACTAATCCCATAAACTATCCATTTTAACTCTGAACCTAATTGAAACGGTGTTAATAAATCTGACCTCTAGATCCATGTGTTGAAGCTGGAAGCAAAGCTTTTTCATAATCATTCCCAGTCACAGGAGAGCAGTAACAAGAGGCAAATCTAAAGATGATATGTGCTAATCGTCAGTTCTTTGTTTCAACTTTACCATTTACATGAAAGAAATGTATGTTTATTGTTTTTTTAATTTTAGTTTAAACATAGAAATATCACAGCAATTGAGCCGAAACCAGTTTGGCTCAGTGGTAGAGCGTCGGTCTGCAGACTGAAGGGTCCCGGGTTCGATTCCAGTCAAGGGCACGTACATTGGTTGCAGGCACATCCCCGGTTGGGAGTGTGCAAGAGGCAGCTGGTCGGTGTTTCTCTCTCATCGATGTTTCTAGCTCTCTATCTCTCTCCCTTCCTCTCTGTAAAAAATCAATAAAATATATTTTTAAAAAAGAAAAGAAATATCACAGCAATTGAATAATTACAGTCTTGTTGAAGACAGCTCTACTTCTCCAAACAGTGAAAATGTGGTGAGAGAAACGTGTACTCATATCTGAAAGAACGGTTTAACTTCTCTTTTCCACTGCCCTTTGGTGGAGAAAGCTAGAAAAGAGAAATTAACAATAACTGGGCACAAATAGGAACAAGGAAAGAGGAAGGGATAAGCCACATACCTCAGTATTTAGAAACTGAATACCTACCCCAGAATAATTGAAAATGGCTAATCTATAGAAGTGTTAGAATAAAAAAGATTTATTTAAGGTATTACAAATATCTCCCTACCCCCTGCATTGACATCTTGTACCCCCCACCTCAGGCCTACAGCGGTCTTATCTGTGTCCATTGGTTAGGCATATATCCATCTTTCACACTTGAAATCTTTCAGTTTTTAGTCTTTTATAATCCAAATATCATTGCTATTAACACATTTCTTTTTTAACTATACTTAACAAATACAGAGTATGACAAAAGTAGGTTTACAGTTGTTCATATGAAAAATAGCATAAGTAATAAATAATAATATAGGAATAAATTCTGTTTCATGTACTCACAACTGTAAATCTACTTTTGCCCCACACTATAATATGATGACAGAATAAGTGCAAAACTTTTAAAATGTACATGTATTATAAAACTAATAGATGTTCACTGTACAAAATTTAGAAAATACAGAAAAATATAAAGAAACAATAAAAAGAAACCATAATCTCGCCACTCATAGGCAGCCTTTAAAAACACTTTTATATAATTTATATGCATGTTATCATAGTTGAGATATAGTGAATGTACAGTTTTGTATTCAGTTTTTTTTTCACTTGAATGATAACAAGTATGCAAACATCATTCTAATGGCTCATTTTCAAATAACTATGAAATACTTCACCATTCTTCTATCATTGAATATTTAAGTTGTTTCTTTTGGTCTTTATGTATAAGCTTTTCTGCATTTTAAATTATTTTCTTAGGATATCCCTAAGCCTCTTGATACACATTGCCAAAGTGCTTTCCAAAAAGATGGTAACATTTTATACTCCTGCCAGCCGTATATGAGAGTGCCTATTTCACCACACTCTCTTCAGCATTGCATATTATTCTTTTTTAAATCATTACTAATTTAATAGGCTTATTATTTAAAATAATAAAATAAATATTATTTTAAGTCTCATGTTTTTATTAGATGTGTTTTAATACTTATACCCATTTGGTATTTCTTTGTGTGTGTATGAATTATTATTTCATGTCCTTTGCCCATTTATTTATTATAATTTAGTTTTTCTTATTGATTTGTTTTCATTCTTTATATCTAGGGCATTAAAACATCTGGCACATTTATTATGAACATTAGCACACAATCTACAAAATAGAAATAAAGTTTAGTAAAAGGATCTGGTTCAACATTACATACTTTCATTGTAATAAAAATATTGTAATGAATGACAGCATTAGTGAGTTAAGTGAGTTAAGCAAAGTTCATGCCTATATCCATTAGCAAAACAAAGTGCTATTCCTATTATACTAGTTTCTCCCTTAAAAAAAAAAAATGCAGAAGCAGAACAAAAATAAAAAGAAAATCTCTACTTATAGTATCATATTTTAGCTCATAATTTGAAAACTAAATAGTTTGGAAAGCTAAATTTTTGAGAAAAGATTGAAATGGGGGAATGAAGAAGAGGATACACTTAACCAAAGAACTAGCAAGAACTCAGCTCATTCCTCTCCATGATTGGGTTATCTATAATAATCTATAATAATAAAAGCATAACATGCTCATTAGACCAGATGTCCTTCCGGACATCCTTCCGACAACCTTCCAGATGAAGCTGGGGCTGTGAGGGCGGAGGCCAAGGCAGCCGCTGCAGTGGCTGGAGCCAACCCCCTTGCACAAATTTTGTGCATTGGGCCTGTAGTTCTTTCATAATCCTTTGTGCCAATCGACACTGATCATTGTTGATTGATAACAAACTTTATGTAAACATGCTAATATTTGAACTTCTTAAATACTTCTATATCTTAATTTTAGTAAATTTAAGCTGGATAAACAACCCATGTAAAAATAACTTTAGCATTGTACATTTGGCTCACAGCGCCCTTTCAGGACATGTGCTATGCACATTCAATGCACTTTTTCTACATGTCGTTTCCTTTCATTAGATACCGTCAGTCCTCGTAATACCTTTTCTGTATATCTTTTAGAGATGAGAAGCAATACAGTCGATAAAGTATATTTAAACATTTACATTTAGTGGGTTCCACATTAACTGTTTAGCTATCATAAGATCTTGTGAAGTTGATAGGACTTTGCTTTGTATACTGACCCTCCTAAAATCCAACGATAAAGCATATTCTGAAGTCAACTCCATTACTAATTATGAAGTGCAATATCTACTATTTTGCTTCAAAACTTTTGACATTCCTAGCATTCTCTAGAAAACCTGGTACAAAAGACCATAGGCATAAAATGGACTTCAAGGGATAATTTTGTACTACTCCCTTTCTGTTGTTCAGCAACAATTATAAAGTCTCACAGTTGAATAGGGAATATTTTATTGTCTGAAATATTCTTAATGATTTTAGAAAGAAAATTTAATAATATTTTCTAATATCCAATTTCAATGTTTAGGAAGTTTCCCATATTTAATTTAAACCTGACCTAATAAGTTTTGTCCATTTTTTTTTATTTTTTATTCTATCCTGAATAGCTTAGTAACTGCTTTTGAAGGTCATGCTTGAAGGTCATTTTGAAGTCATCAATGGCTTCATTCTCTGTGGAATGAATACTAATTGACATTTGGTGTTGGTTTCTTTTAGGGCTACAATAAGGCAGTGGATTGGTGGGCATTAGGGGTGTTAATCTATGAAATGGCAGCTGGCTACCCCCCATTCTTTGCAGACCAACCAATTCAGATTTATGAAAAGATTGTTTCTGGAAAGGTAAGAAATACATTTTATTATTCCCCTGTTATTATTTCTGTACATGAATTTTAAGGTTTATAGATTGAAGCCATTTGTTATCATATTATCCTAAATTCAAAAAATATGGAAATGTCCAGAGTTACTGCCTTTGTATCTAGCACTCATTAAAGATGATAGCATAAATGTTAAATTATTAATGTTTCTTAAGAAAAAAAAGGCATTCTGATAACTACAGTAGCAAAACAATAAAACATTTTCCAGTTTTAGTATTTTTATCACTTGTAAAACACAGCATCATAGCCCTAATTCTGAGTATTCCTTCAAATAAATAAAAATTGGTAGTCATTTCATGTAGATGTTTTCTTGTAGAGAAGTTTTAGGGGCTTTTTTTTAAAAAATATGCTCTTGCTTTTTCAGGAAAGACTTCTTGTTTGAAATATGTCATACACCACAAAATTGAGAGTAAATATAAAATAGATATTTTTAACATAGAAATTATGTAAACAATTGTTCACATTCATTGTGATTATAATTGTCATTTATCTTAGCAAAAATGGAAATAACTAATTTTTCTTGACCATGAGTAGATTTACTATTACAGTATTATAATTTTGTCATTACTCCATAAACCTTCTTTATTTTACATTTATAATCACTAGTTTTGTTTCCAAAGTATTTGTTTAGAGTTAGTCATTTGCTCTTGCCTTGGCTCATACCACAGGTCTTTTTTAAAAATATTGCAATTTTAATAAAGATGAGCCTGATTCTTTCTACTATACAGCAAAGAAAGAGTAACTTTTAAAATCCTCAGAAGAAGGGCTTCCATGTTTATGATAAAGTTTATGGAAAGGGATTCTTTTGCTATTTTTACACAAAGTATGTTGTGTGTTTTTTTGTTGTTGTTGTTTTTTTGGTGGGGATTTTTTGTTTGTTTGTTTTTTAGATTACGTAGCCCCATTTAGAATATGACCTGGAATAGGGTGTTAATCTTGACATGACATCACCCTGAAATGTGGCTTTTGAAGGTCATGCTTGAATGAAATTTACTTGTGACAGCATCTTGTCAGATAATTTTATTCCTTTTAGGAAGATAAATTTTTTTGTACTTTCTGATCTTTTAAGGCAGAGATTAGACTAATAGACCTAAAGAATCTGGATGGAGGTAGAGGAAAAGTCTGTATTTCTTTGTAGCTCAGCCAGGTTCACACTCTACATTTACTGGTAATGTGAAAGCTGGCAGTCAGCATCAATGAACTTAAAATTCACAATGTTAACTTAAAAGTTACAATGTTAAGAAGGCAACCTAAATGTCCAGAACCTCGTAATTTACATTTTTATCAAGATCCAGGTTTATCTCATAGTGTTTATGCAGTCTATTGGGGTCAAAAGATTTTCAGATGTATTTTATGGGGAAAATTTTGTGAAAAATAAATACCTCAAAGTAAGAAAGTGAAGATGGGCAGTGAAAATTTTACAGAAAGGCAGAGGGAAGTATGTTAAGTCATTAAGTATCGGTGCTGCCCTTATTGCTTTGGTATCTCTCTAGACTTCACACTTCTTATGTAATGGTTTCCACTAAGCAGAATGTTACAGTCACAGTAAGAGAACCTCTCAAATGAACAAAAGAAAACATCAAGAGAAATTCGTAGAGGAAGTGATTTTTTTTTTTTTAAGAATTTGAAAATTATGCAAACTCTCAAGAAAGAATAAAAACCAAAGGTCATATGAAGAATGGTACGAGAACTAAGATACTTAAAAATCACTGAATGGAAGAAGCATATTTTACCAATCCAAAGACTAAGCATGCAGAACTATAATAATTCCAAACAATTTAATTGCTGGTAATTACAAAGTTTCTGAATCTTTACTATATTGCTTTTATTTATGCTTAACTTCCTAAAAGGAATAAGATTATTTGACAAGATGCTGTCACAAGTAAATTTCATTTACTTTGAAAATTTATTTTGATAAAAACAAATATATCTTCATCCGTATGAACTGGCCTCTTTTTGCCAATCATCCTATATTGCATACGTTTTTTTCAGCTGTTCAAGAATATGTTTTTATTTCATATCAAACTTTAATTTTAGGATCCAATGTTAGCTTAAATTTTAAATCTGCATATATTCTAAAAATAGTAACAGTTTATATCTTAATCACCTTAGAAGAGTAGTAACATAAAAGTTTGTCATATGACAATAATTTATTTTTTTCTTCATTTATTTAGAAATATGATAGGGTGTTTTGCTTTTGACTGAAGATGCCAGATAGTCTCTCCCCATATTGGATATTATAAAGTTATTTTTATTCCTTGTTCTCTTTCCTCAAAGTAAAACCCCTGAAAGCAGAATATTGCTATTAAGTGATTTCTAGGCTCTGCATTATCTACACTAATAAAAGAGTAAGATGCAAATTGACCATACCTTCATGATGCCCACTAGCCAATCAGGGGTGAGTATGCAAATTAACCCAACAAACATGGTGGGTTAATTTGCATATGCAGGCACCAGGTGGCCAGGAATGGGGAACTTATGTTGTTGCCATAGTGACAACGCATGCATTCCACACTGCCCCAGCCACTTCCAGGCTCTGGGCATGTGGGAAGGCAGAAAGGCCACTCTAGGCTGGAGCAAAAAGGCGACACCAGCCTGAGTGAAGGCAGTGCCTGCACCCAAGGGAAGGAAGGCCTGTTCTTGCACAAATCTTCATGCATCAGGCCTCTAGTGTGAATATAAAATCATACTCATCACTTCTCAATAAACCATTTGTTTCATCACTGAAATCCAAACTAGATATACCTCTCTCCATATTACAAAAGTGTTATCCCTCTGCTTAGTGGCTAAAAGCCAAATAGGAGACTAATTGGTTTTATTTATTTATTTTTTATTGCTCAAGTCATTAAAAATTTAATTATGGCCCTACTTGGTTTGGGTGACTGGATAAGGCCTCAGCCTGTGGACTGAAGATCCTGTGTTTGATTCCAGTCAAGGGCACATACCTGGGTTGCAGGCTTGATCCCCAGTAGGGTGCATGCAGGAGGCAACCAATTAATGATTCTTTCTCATCATTGATGTTTCTATCTCCCTCTCCCTTCTTCTCTGAAATAAATAAACATATATACTTTTTAAAATCCAATTATGGCCTTTTATTTGTAAATGCTATATTTATAATTAAATTGTTTTGATGATGCAGTATGTCACTTAAAAATATACTTGTATCCAGTAATGTTTAAAAATGTATGTTATTATTTTATGTAGCAACATTTTATGTTGATTATATTTTCCATTCTGAAACCATGTTATAAACATTACAGATATCAGTGGCCTATACAAGTTAAAAGAAAATGTATTTAATGAAGTGATTAATTCACACACACACACACACACACACATATATATATAATATATATTATATATATATATATATATATATATATATATATATATATATTTGAACATTAGGTTGTTAAGTACTGTCTCATTTGCAATATTGTAACTCAAACTGGTATTTTTAAGTTTATTCAAGTATAAATATTAAAAAAGATGATCAGTCAGCTTGTGAGATTCTCTCCTACACATATTTGCCTTTAAAAAAAACAAAAGAGAAGGTATTTGAATGTCAAATTATTCATGCAGCATTAAGGTTCAGGTTTTAAAATGCACAGTGAACAGCAAAGTTTTATAGTTCCTGCATTTTGTGCCTCATCCTAACAATATATGTGCTGAGTTTCTGCAGTCTTTAAATTTTGTACTCAGTTCCATATATTTTATGACAAGAATCAGTTATGGTTTCCATAGCAACTCTATCTGGCTGCATTATTCTTGGAAATATGAAAGTTAACATTGTACTCAAAAATGATACTTTCAAATAAGTCAGTCAAGGAACAGCTTTTAGGGATACCATACCCTTAGAGCCCTTGACTTATGTAATTTAATAAAAATTAACTTCAGTATATATAAATACTATTCCATTTTTAATAAGCACCAAAAATGTACGAAGAAACACTGTACAAAAAATAAAGGTGTAAACAGATGCAATTCACATTAGCATGAAGAGAAATTGATTAGCAGCCAAATGGCTATTCTTGATGTGTCCAGAGTCTCTTAAGACCATTCCCAGGTTAGGCAATTCACTAGGTGGACTTAAAGAATTCAGCATAGAATGATAATCAAGGAATGGATACGTTACAACAGGTACCTTCATTGTAAGGTGCCTTCCAAGAAAAGATACAAAGCAAAATCAGCAAAGGAAAAAGAAAGTCCAGAGGAAACCGGGCACAGGCTCTCCCACCCCACCAGTGTAACTCAGTAGTTAAGTGTCAACCCCTGCACCTAGAGTCACCTGTTCGATTCCAGGTCAGGGTACCTGCCCTGTTTGCAAGCTCAGTCCCCAGTAGGAGGCAACCAGTCAATGATTCTCTCTCATCATTGATGTTCCTTTCACTGCCTCTCCCTTCCTCTCTGAAATCAATAAAAAAATATTTTTTAAAAGGGTCCTCTCCCCCTATTAAAGGGTCTTCTTTAAGAAGAAGAAAAGATCAATAATATAAATAATAAAATAACAATAAATACATATCTGTTAATAATTACTTTCAATGTAAATAGATTAAATACTCCAATCAAAAGACTACAGTGGCTGAATGGATAACAAACAAGACCCTTACATTGGCTGTCTTCAAGTGACTCGCTTCAGGTTGAAAGACACACACAGGCTGAAAAGTGTAGGGATGGAAAAAGATACTTCATGAAAATAGAATGAACAAAAATCTGGGACAGCAAGACTTATACATAATAGACTTTAAAATAGAGGCTATAACAAGAGACAAAGAAAGGACCCAGACATTCCACTTCTGAGTATTTATCCAAAGAAACCCAAAAGACATATACACCAATAGGTTCATTGCAGCATTGTTTACATTAGCCAAGACATGAAAGCAACCTAAACATCCAATATACAATGGAATATGACTCAGCCATAAAAAAGAATGAAATCTTACCAAGTGCAACAACACGGATGTA